GGCATGGGGCAGTGGGTTTGTGTCATAAAAAGTCTATGCTCTTACAAGTGCCTGCGCCTCCTTGACCAAGTGTCTCCATAAAACTCAATGCAAAACAAATGAGTCGGAGCTGCAGGAGCGATGCGTTGGGTTGGATTAGTAGTTGGTTTTTTTTGTTTGTTTTTCAAGCTGGAAGAGTTAAAGTTATCTGATTTATTTATTTATTTTTATGGCCAGTTACTAAATACACCACGTGAACAAGTTGCGCACACATCCTCTAAGAAACGTTTTTTTGTTGTTGTTGTTTTTAACCCCTAAATTCTATGGAGTGTAAAGAGCTTTTTATATATTTATTTGTTTTGTCAAATTAAATAACTATTATTTATTTTTTAAATGGTGCTGGAGAAATTAAAGTTTCTCGTCTTACGCGTTTTTTCTTCTTGTTTTTGTAGTTTTAAACAACTTGTCTTGTAAAATACGGAACAAAAGCACTGAGATGCAGCACTACACGTGTGTGTGTGTGTGTGTGTGTGTGTGTGTCCTTACCGTAATCGGTCCATATCCCCCATTAAGCCTCGGACTTCCACAGTGAAGTAGTGGAAAATTTAAAAAAAAAAAAAAAAGGTGAAGCCCTTTACAGCAGCCAGGACTCGCCACAAAGTGCACATGCGTTATAATATATGAAAAATAATCATACAAGTGACATGTTATTATTTTAGATTTCTCTTTTTTTATGGTTTTCTTACGTGTCGTGAATGTTATGATTAATCTGCATTGCAATGACACTGAGAGTTACGGCTAACTTCATGTCCGAACACGTCCCCACAGATTATAGTCATTCATTTATTTATTTTTTTGGATTCACCGTCCCCGCAGCTCCGCCACAAACATTCCAAACTCATGCAAGAGCAGCCCAACACTTTTGAATGAGCCCAGAAGTGCAAGATTTGTTCCACTGAAGGATTTCCTCCCTGCACCACCAGCTCACACCGGGCTGCTCGAAGAAACCACCACCGTACTCGAGGTCTCTTTCTCGGCCACTCGGCCTCGTTTTCTTCCCTCTGGTGCCGGCCGACATCCAGGCGCAGGAGAACTGGGGTGGAGGAGGAAGAAGAGGAGGAGGAGGAGGAGGAGGAGGAGGAGGGAGTAAGTGCCCGGTGGCATCTGTGCATAACAAAGAGTCCCTGCTCTTAATTGGAAATACTCAAACATGCATATATAGACACATGGTAATTTTTGTTCATTAATTATTGGGATAATATCTTGTTGTTTTAGGACGTTTTGGATGGTCCTCAGTTGAGACTTGAGAATGAGGAGTGCGCACTGGGCAATTATTAAGAAAGACAAACTGAGGTGGCAGATGTGCTGACATGGCACGTTAGGAGGAGTAAAAAAAATACACTATAAATTATAAATCCAGCTTCTATTTTGTAATTGTAATAATCTGCTAATAGGTTTTCATTAAATCAACCCCATATTTATATTTGATCCCAAAGCTCCGAATCAGAAACAGTGGTTGAAAGACCGGTGTGACAAAACCAAAACTCTACAAAGAAGTGTGTGGAACTAATTCTTTAATTCCTAAACGTAGCAATATATTTTTTTGTTTGTTTGAGTGAAAATTTATTTATGTTAAAGGCCAATTATATTCGAGGCAGAGCGCACGGGAGTTTCTAGCTCCAATGCAAACCAAAGAGAATTGCTCTGGAGCTAACCCAGGTTTAAACCGACCGCGTTCATGTGAGGAACCCTTGGATATATGGGTGTACATGTGATCAGAGGCAAAACAACAAGGGCGTATTGTGTCAAACAAAAAAAAAAGCAACCCAGGTTACCAAAAGGGCAGGACATGCAGTGGTCAGAATGGAACAAGCCTCGACTGTCTGCTCCTCCATGCATCTCCCGTGCGGGCCGGGCACCGTGCACATTGGCTCTGGGATCTGTGAGCTGCATCACCCCCCCCCTTATCCTCACCCTCCCCTGGGGACCCCCGGACCATCACCGAGCTGCCCCTCCCCTCACGTCACCCGCTTTGGATCCGTGAAACGCCCGCATGTTCCGTGTTTTAACGCTGTCATACAGAATCAGCAAAGCGACTTTTCCTGCATACAACGCGAGGAGATCTCAGAGCTGCGTCCTATATGTTGCATTTGGGAGCGGTGGGAATGCAGGTCAGATGACCCCGAGGTCGGGTGGAGTTAGCTGAGCTGAAGACACTGGGCATCTTATGGGACACATATAGTTACGCACACACAGACGGTGATCTGTCGTGGTGCGTTTCATGCGCAAACCTGCTGAAGTCCACAATCAAACTTGGGCAGCCTTTTGCTCTTCTTATCCAGCAACAAAAACTCACAACTAGACGGCAATTTTTCACAGTAGAGGCTACTACGATTAGAACTTTAGATTATCCCAGCAGCTCTTTTCTAGATTACGCACAGTCGCTGCAATGTAAGCTCTTAAATTAGAAGCGTAGCCACAGGAAAGAGAATCATCTGTTTAAGTTCACATATATAGGCTGACATTTAAAGGTATAGCCCGACCCTTTGACCCCTACGTGTGTGTGGCTGCGTGTGTAATGGCTACACACACACTCCATTACTAAATCTCACGCACAATCTTGCGCCTAAATCCATGCGCACCACGTTGGTAATTATGCGCTCCACTCCAATATTGCGTGGATATTTTGGACACGATGTTCAAATCATCCCGAGCTTTAACGAAGAGCTGCAAAAAACCTACGCCTACATACGGTGCACGACAAGCTGTTTGATGTAACACCGAGGTAACATCGATGCCATTCAATATACAGTGACAGGCCTGTAAATAAGCAAACAGGCTTAACGTTGTGGAGATGAGCGCACCCTTGTCTTGAGTTTGACCCCAGCGCGCTGGGCCACAAGGGATTCACGTGTTTTATACGGATAACAAAGATGGAACATCACGCAGTATTGAGAGAATATGGCTCTGGGGTGGAACGATATGATATACACAGTCGCATTATTTGGAAAGCCTTGAGGCTGGTGGCATCAGCTACGTTTTCTCTGCTTGCTTTGCTGCGTCTGACTGGCGGTGTGTGTGTGTGCGTGGATAAGGTGTGCGTGCTTCAGATCACGAGTGCCATTCTTTGTGTGTGTGTGTGTGTGTGTGTGTGTGTGTGCGTGCGTGAGTGAGTGTGCGTGTGTTGCCTGTAACGTCACATCGCGTGCATGTATGCAAGTATGCATGGCGTGCGCACGAGCTAAGCACCCAGCACATGCGCAAAGAGAAAACGTGCGTAAAATGTTTCGGACACCAAAAATTCCTCGAAATATGCGTTTTGCTCAATAATCCCACAGCCTCCTTCTCAAAAGCTACTTGTTGATATTTGTGAATTTTATTGATCCAACAGCTTATTAATATATTATTTATGTAATTGTGTAAATACCACATTTCATAATTGTATTTTAACGAGAGATTTTGATTGGATTTTTCCGGTGGCTCCAGCTCTAACCTACGTTTTCTAGAAACTCATGTGGGAAAAGCAACCCTGACTTTGCACTTTTTATTCTGTCCAGTCACTGCTCACATTGTTTCGCCGGGGAGCGAGAAAAAATTGCTAGAAATCAAAAGGGATTTTCAGTTTTAGAATAGCTTCACTAAATTCACATTATTTCTACAGTTTGCTATTTTTATGCAAGCACACACACACACATGCACACACACACACTCTCACACACACACTCACAGTGAAGAGAGTAAAAGCAAATCGCGTAAAAAATAATTAATTCATTCCAATATAGCCACACAAATGTGAGCTCAGCAAATAAGTAGGTCAGTCTATCCTATAACATCGAGGAAAAATCAGAAGGAGAAAAAAAAAGGCTCGATCCAACGAAAGCAGATGAGTCTAATGTGAGGTCAGGGCAGCAGCCTAAATGTGGAAAAGCAGCTTGCCAAGTGTTGGGGGAAAAAAAAGAAGAAGACGCAAATGTCTTTGTTTAAGCAGCGCTGCGTTAACCAGTGTGGAGACGTTTTAGCAACATGCAATCGATGGCATATACTGCAGAACTACTGTCGCATGCATTTTGATGTGGACCGAGAGGGAACAGCACAATTACATTCCAGTCTTATCGTGACAATTTGCAGGCTCGGGCTTCTTATTTCTACACGAACTGGGTGGAGAGTGAATTTTTTTTCAGCAGCTCTTTTATTCAGCTTATTGAAATATGAACTTGTCATAACTGCATTATTTACTCAAACGGCGACGACTGTGGGCACAATTGCAAAAAAAAAAAAACAACTATTGTAAACGATGAGGGTGTGGGAGGGGGTGGGGATGGAATATCCATTTTTATTGCATCACCTGTCAGCGACGTCCAATGGGCGTCGACTCCGAGGGCATTAATTGATGAAGGTGTCTCCAGACTGGCCCACCTCCTCTCTCTGTCATTTTATTTGTGGCTCAACCAGCAGCCAGAATAGCAGCTGCATTTTAGCTCTTATTCTGTTTCTCTCTGTCTCTGATTCTCTCTCTCTCTCTCCCTCTCCCTCTCTCTTTCTCCCTCCCCTCCACCCTCACTACACCCTCTCTCTCTCTCTCTCTCCTCTCTCTCTCTCTCTCTCTCTTCTCGCTATTTTATCCCTCTGGCTGAGGCAGTGGTGTACACCTACCCCTCGTCCTGCTGCCGACCAGAGGGGAGTGGAGTCGGCAGAGGCAGGTAGCAGCAGCAGCAGCAGCAGCAGGAGGAGCAGCAGCAGCCCCGGCTTGGTGGCATCCGTCGCATTCCTCCACCATGCCGGACCGGGGCAAGAGCCGAGGAGTGGATGCTGTCGGCTCATTCAACCTACTAGACAGGGGCAGCTCCATTTAACTCCGCATGTCAAAGTTTGCATTTTCATGACGCAGCAGCAGCAGTGTGGATGGATTAAAGGTATGAGCAGGATGCCTTGAGCTCACCACCCTGTGCCATTTACTGGTAAATCCATAATATACTGAGAGTGACTACATGGATTAATACATTGTGGCGGATACATAAACCATGGGAGACCTGGAGTGTGGCTTTGAGGAAATGCAAGGAGTCAGATTGGGATACCTGCTCATCAAAGGCAAGCAAATGTTTGCTTTGTCTCAGGTCTTCACCGACCTGCTGAAGAACATCCCCCGGACCACGGTGCACAAGCGCATGGACCACCTGAAGGTGAAGAAGCACCACTGCGACCTGGAGGAGCTGCGGAAGCTCAAAGCAATAAACTCTATAGCTTTCCACGCCGCTAAATGCACTCTCATATCGCGGGAGGACGTGGAGGCTCTGTATTTCTCCTGCAAGACGGAGCGGGTGTTGAAGTCCAACAAAAGGAAAGCGAAAGCAGCGTGTCCCCCGGGGGACGAGGACGCGTCCTCGGGGCTCCTCCGTGCGGACGCCGAACTGTGGAAGGAAAAAGTTTGGTTTAGTTTGCACGGTGTCCCGGAGACTCTGGCGCTTCACAGCAAAACGGCCAGGAAGAGAGAGCTGACTCCTTGCCTTACCGACTCCAAACTACCTCAATTTTATCACAAAACGCACGGGCGGGAGTACCGTTCGGCGACCAAGTCCAGTCACAAACACTTTAAAAACTATGAAACAGCTAAAATAGCAGGGAACCGCGTTACTTTGAGCCAAAGGCACTCGTTTTTGCGCAGCGCCGTGAGCCGGCAGCCGGTGGTGCTTCAGTCCGCCATAGCTGCTCAGTCCAGGCTCTCGCGCTCAGCCGGCGACCTACTTCACAAAAGGAAGAGGAGGCGCGAGGGGGGCGGCGGCAGGGACAGCGCGAGGCACTCGTGGAGCAGGAGCAGACACGCGCAACACCACCCACCGCCGGTGCTGCTCGTTCAGCCCAAATCGTCCGGCGGCCACGGCGCCTCCTTCGGCGCTTTCCACCTCAGTCCGGATTTCTATCTCGACCCGCGACCTCACCATCATCACCACCACCAGCACCACCATCACCACCACCACCACCACCTCGAGCAGCCCAGCTTCCCGGAGAGCTACAGCAGCGACACCGAGTCCAGCACCTACTCGGACCGTGCGTACCCGGACTCGGACTTCGGCTCCGGGTTCTCCACGAGCAGCAACTCCGGGAGCTCCGAGGAAGAAGAGGAGGAGGAGGATGAAGATGACACGCAGTCAGAGAGTTCAGAGGTCAGCTCAGAGGAGGAGGAGGAGGAGGAGGAAGAGGAGAGCTCATCTCAGTCCGACTCCAGCTCCGTCTCCAGCCGGGTGTCGGTTCAGAGCATTCGGTTCAGACGGGCGCGGGTCGGTTCACTCGCCAAAAGCCTCAACACCAGTAAAACACCTTTGGTCCTGCAGCCCACGTTTCACTACAACAACCAACAGCAGCAGGAAAAGCAGCACAGGACGCAGGGCCACACTGTTGCCACTTCACAAACAGGGGACAGCAAACAGGACCAGAACTGTGAGTTCATATGCAGTGAAACTAGGAAGGATTTGGGACACTTACAGCCACCAAAATTTAACTCAGCTGCTGTGGGGGAGAGTTTTTTCACTGAGTCCAAAAGGGAAAAGACGTGTGAGTCTGATCCAAACAGGGCTGACCCAGTGGATGAGTTGGTCCCCCACAACCGGACCACTAAGGCCTTTCACCCGTCACGCAGGACACCGGGGCATCCCACCAAATGCCTCCCGGCACTGAGCGCACAGTGTGACCACAACAAAGACGCCAAGCTCCAAAAATGTGTCGACAAAAGGGAGGCGAAAGCCACCAGCCTAAAACTGCCCACGTCACTGAAAAAAATAAAGACCGAGTCGGAGGAGCCCTGTGTGACCCCCTACTCGGATGGTGTCAGGACACCACCCTTCAACCTCCACAATGTGAAAGTTAAAGTGGAGGAAAGCTGTGATGAATATGAATACCAGAGCCAGGCCACTGTAGTCAAATGTAAAGGAGATAATGCAGAGAGCAGCAATGGTCAATATCCCAGCGGAGCCATCAAACAAGGAGACTTTTTCCACAGCGGGATTAAAGCCACAGAGAAGAGCCCTGATGTGGCCCCCAGGTCCCCCTGTGGTCCTCAGGAATGCAGGAGTAGCCAGGACACCCCGTGTATCGAGGAGGGGGAACACAGGAACAAAAACTGCAGGGCTCCGGTGCTGGGGAATAAGAAAACCCGAGTTTCCAGGACGCAAACAAAACAAAACGTGCCCAGGGTCAACAAGGCTGCCTCTTCCTCTTCTTCTTCATCCTCCTCCTCCTCCTCCTCGTCCTCCTCCTCTTCTTCCTCCTCTTCTTCTTCTTCTTCTTCGTATCGTCCCGAGGAGGTATCTACCGAGGATTTACCGGGCAGACGCAAACGCAGCAACGCGAGCACTGTAGCATCGCCTGCAAAAATGCCTTTCACCCTGATGGCAAATTTCCCATCCCCGCCGTCGCTGATTGTTGGCAGCGACGGGGATTTGTGCCCTGCTTACTCCCTGAACTCGCTGAGGGGCCCCGGGCCTCCCCCTCCGTCCCACCCCGTGTGGAGATGGCAGCCAGGCGGCCAGATTCTCCCTCCCCCACACGCTCAGAGAACTAGGAAATACTGAGCTGGTTTTTTAAAAGCAAAAAAAAAAAGCCCCCACCGTGTCCATCTCCAACCTAACCGTAGCCTGAGTCTTAACGTGAGCGCACCAAATTACGCGCAACTTTATCGGTGCTTATGATTATTATTGCTATTATCTTTTCTCCCCCTTTTGTCTCCTCCTGAGAATGGATTTACATTCCGCTTTGTTTTGAAGTTTGATCGAGGGAAACCCACAAGATCCCCTTTTTGGAGCCTCTGAAAACGCCCACAGGACTGTGAGACACCGCTCGTGGATTTACGCTTAAAAAAAAACTTGTCTTTTAAAATAAGCTATCAGTCCTAAGCAATATGTTAGGTTCTCAATATTGTGTTCACTTGACTATTTTCTGAACTCGATTGTTTCTTATTCGCTTTTTTTTTTCTTTTTCTATATGCTCGACCTGTTGGATTGTATGGTGCCAGGGTTTCAGTGGTTTGTGCTTTGTCTGAAAGAGGGAAGGGGGTTAAAAAAAAATCACAGCATTCCTTGGGATGAGGCTACTTTGAATCGGGTTGGGACTGAGAGTAAGTTTGACTTATTAAATCAAAACAAAGAAAGAAAAGAAAGAAAGAATCAGGGTTTCCCATTCTGTGCCACTTGGTATATTTTCTATACCAGCGCTGTGTTTTCTTTCATGACAGTCATGCTGACCAGCTTGGCCACAATGTGCCCAAATGTTCAGTTTCAGAGAATTATTTAAAATATGGATTTATTAATGTCTGCTTATATGCTCACAGTTAAGCCTTTATTAGATTTGACAGGAATTTATTCTTGGTGGTTGTGGGGTTTCTTTAGGGTGCTTGTGATCTGGTTTTCACTCTTGCTTTTTTTTTTTTTTGTTTCGTTTTTTTTTTCTCTCTCTCTCTCCTACCGAGCTTTTTTCTTGGTTTGCTGACTGCACAGACGCAGGCCCAGACACAACACAGGCCTTATGTACAGACAATCAAAGAGA